AAAATAAATAAATATACATCTAAAAACATTTAATTTAGAATAAAAATAATTTAAAATCTTATTATTAACTTTAAGTACAGAAAATTTACATAGAAAAAACTTTAAATAATTAATTATATATAGTTATTAAAAAATAATTTATTATTAATAGTCGTTTTATGTAATTAGAAAGAATTAGAACTATTTATATTTTAAACCTGTTTGTGTTATATTTTTTATAAACCTATAATCTGTTATATTTTTTGTATTTTTGTATATTTGTTATTTTTTTTCTAACAATCAAAATATTTTTAACACAACGAAAAAATATAACAAACAGCTCTTGTATGCAATTTTGGACAAGTTTAGCTAGCCTATCAAATGCATCAAGTATTACATTCGATTGGTTCTTACTTTTAAGCCCAACCAATTATATTCAAGTGCTATTTTACTGTGCGATTGTAAACTGATTGTACTTTAAAGAAGCACGTGGTATACTGTGATCATAACCTCCAATTGAGCGCGCTACGGCTACCGTTGTGTGTTGTATCGTGTTTGTTTTCGTTTACGAAAATTAAGCAGCAGAAATGTTACGGAGGCAAGCACGATTACGTCGAGAATATCTGTACAGAAAATCTGTGCAAGATAAAGTGAAATGTATTCAAGAGAAGAAAGATAAATTGAAACACAGTTTGGAAGAAAATATACCGATTCATCCGGATCTAAGGAAAAGCGCATTACATGTGCAAAGGAAGATCGAATGGGAGGATGCTGGACCGGAGATGGCAGTGGCCATGGGTACAGAGATGGGCGGTACCATAGCCAACCACGAGGATGACGAGTATCGTTGGGCTGGCGTGGAGGATCCAAAGATCGTCATCACAACGTCTCGCGACCCAAGCTCCCGGCTGAAGATGTTCGTGAAGGAGCTCCGTCTGATGTTCCCAAACGCACAGCGAATGAACCGTGGTAACTACGAGATGAAGCAGCTAATCCATGCTTGTCGTGCCAACGAAGTCACTGACTTTATCATCGTACATGAACATCGAGGTGTTCCTGATGCTCTGGTGATATGCCATTTGCCTTATGGACCGACAGCCTACTTTACATTATCCGGTGTCATAATGCGACATGATATTCCTGATATTGGTACAATGTCAGAACAGTATCCACATCTAATCTTTCATAATTTTAAGACGAAACTAGGAATAAGAGTAATGAACATATTGAAGTACCTGTTTCCTGTACCAAAAGAAGATAGCAAGAGAGTAATTAGTTTTGCTAATCATGATGATTACATTTGTTTCCGACATCACACATACAAGAAGACTCAAGGAAAGAATATCGAATTGACAGAGGTTGGACCACGCTTTCAAATGAAATTATATGAGATTAAATTAGGAACTCTAGATACTGAATCTGTCGCTGACACAGAATGGGCTTTGAGACCTTATATGAATACAACTCACAAAAGGAGATTTCTGTCTGATGATGATGGTTGGCAACAAGAAGATAATTTAATTTAATTCTAATATGTATATCTGTGTACATATATCAATTTAATTTTGATAAATTTTATATAATTGCATTGACATTTCTCTATAAAATTGTATGTATTTTACATATATTTATTGTATAAATATATTGCTTATATTATGTGAGTAGGCATCACTGAAATATAAATTTTATTCTAAATCCGCAAATTATCAATAATATATATACATATAAAAATGTATGAAAAATTCATTTTTACGAATGTCAGTGAAGAAGGAAATGCTACAAGAGTAAAAATAACTGCAGTTAATTGTAGTAAAATTGTTATTACCATGATTGCCATCTTTCCATTAATGTTCCGCTGAAGGTAGCTTTAATTCTTGCCAGAGATTTCATTATGTTGCTGGAAATCGATTATTGCCAAAATTCCAGAACTGTTAGTGCATTGTAGTGGTCTGTAAAAAAATCAGATATATAAAAGTTAAAAAACCAACGTTATCTGTATACATTATCATTTCTTTTAAAAAATTATCAAAATTTAGCGCAATTAACCGAAGATTTTTTTGTTTAAAGTCTGGAATTTATCGATCGAAAAAACCGCAAAAATAGAAATTCTAGAGAAAGTGATTATTGCTTACTCCTATCCAGACATGTACGTCCAAAAAAATCGTAAAGACGTTTTTAAATAATAATAACAGTCGCTTCATACTAATATCGATTTGTATTAACACAACACAGTTCTCCAAGAAATGTCTCAGGACGTCTCTACATGACATCCCTAAAACGTTTTTCGGAAAACTGTGTTATATGAAAGTCTCTTCCCCTTTCTACTCGAATTCATTTCATGTTTCACGAAAAATTTCATACTATTAGAACATAAACTGCCGATCAGTGTGTAAAATAAATCTTGCTATTCGAAATTGCAAATGGCAGCGGTACTTCCGAATCTCGCTCACCGGTTGTGAAAAAGTGCATAACTATGAAAACGATAATAATTTCGTCACGTACCCATTAGTAATCGCATGACGAACGAAGATCTCAAATCCATTCTCGATTTCCATATTGAATTCAGCCTCTTTTTTTCTAATTATCGATAATTTTCACGATTGCGACGCGGCAGAAAAATTTCGTACAACGTGAACCGAAAAATTTGTCGAAACTGGCGTCTTCCTTGAAGTTAGTCGCGTGTTTTAAATAGTTCGAATTAATCGGAAGCGACACATTTCGTTATCCTAGATTACTAAAATGCGCAATGAAGCGGATAATAATTTGATTACGTATTTATAAGCAACTATGTAAATAAACAACAAAAATAATATTTTTTTAACATAAATTTTAAGATAAATGAATAACATGTGTCAATTTAACATATTATAAATGTTAAATTTATTGAAATATATTAATTCAACATGTTATAAATGTTAATTGTAATGAAGAAATATAATTGCTTTCAAATTGTGTTACGTTTTTGTGTTACAATTCTTTACATATAAATATTTATGTTACTCTCTTTTCAATATTTATCTCGTTTTAAATAAACACTAAAATTTGAAATATATATTAAATTTTTTTTAGCATAAATTTCCCAATTGTGTTGCAATTCGAATTTCATGTAGATCACGTTCGAAATCACGCGTTCTTTTTTGAATGAGCCGTGTATTATTTGTTTTTGCAAAAGTCGCATAAATAAAACAAAACACATGTTGTTGATTTGTTAGACAGAGTGCCGTGGTGTAAACAGCCGATTGTCGTGTTTCCTTGCAACCTCGTGAAAATATTATCGTGGAGAGGAAAATCCTAATTGAATGCCGCGCCATGAATAGGAGTGACGAGCTCGCGAAATCCGAGAATACACCGAGGAGGCGCAGCGCGCGCGTTCAGGCGGCATCTTGGCAGCGGAAGGACGCTATGGATGTGTTTGGCTCGTCAAAAACACGCGCTCAGAAGAGCGACGGTGAGCATCGGTTTTTTATCACGCTATTGCGACTGCATCGAATAGACTGATTGCTTGTTCGCTGATATCGCTTGCGGTGCATCGCATGATTGGGCGCGCGCTCGTAGAGAAACTCGGAATTCTTTTTCTACAACATTCATTTACGTTATACGTATATAGATGCGCTAACGCTTTGGTGTATATGGCGGATAATCGTTGTACTAACTGCGCGCCGTACATGACTATTGTTGTCAAAAAACACAAAATTTTGCAACATCAAGCTAACCTCGATCGCGCCGAAAATCATTTTCACCTTTCTTCTATGACTTTCATCGAAGGATCAACAATCACTTCGTTTTTACATACTGCTTAAACGTTTCTGCAACTTATTGCGTATATTTGATGAATGGATTTGATGAATGGTAAAAGTAAACAATTGAATCGGGAATGTACAAATGTCTTATTGAGAGAGTTCCATTTACCTTAAGTTGCTTACATCTCATTATCGCCTCCTATCTATAAAAGTAGTTAATTGAATAATTGTTTTTCATAAAAACGTAATGCAGATTTCTCAAAGAAAAGAAGCGAAGCAAAGTGAAGTGCGAGTTGTACTGCGACTGGCTGCCCACATCTTTAGTAGCTGATACATTGTAGCCTGTATAGAAGTAGTATTTCTGTACTGTGTCTATCCTGACTCTATAAATGTTTAAGCCTGGTAGTTAGTTATTGCAAAGTACATTAGACTCTTTCTTTTTTTTTTGGCAAGGTGCAGTCTGCTTTATCTTTCAGATCTAGAGGTCACGGGTATCTCCCGTAGTGGCCGCGTGAGGAAGAAATCTTCCAAACTTGTTGACTTCGAATCCGATGATCTTACGGAAAATAAATTGAAGCGACAAAAGGCACAGCAGCTACAAAGTCAACAGTTCTTAGATCAATATGAAGTACAACAGCAACAACAGCAGATATTGCCTATGCAATCTAACCAAGTGGGTAACATTGGACAACAGAGAAAGAATTCAGGTTCAATTCATGTGCAACAAAGGGTTAAGGTGGAATCTCTGTCTGATAATGAAGGACAGACGTCTAGTTCTGAATCCGATGATCCCGCTGGGATAAACGAGGATGAGATAGACTCTGAAAGCAATAATGAAGTAGATCCTCTTTTGATCGATGAAAGAGAAATGGGATTCAGGAAGCTAGAGCCACCATTAGGTCAGGAAATACCATCTCAAGCAAATAGTTTATATATGCTTGAAAAATCTAAGAAAAAATTGGTTATTAAGGATGGAAAAATCATAGGCAAAACAAAATCCCAACGCAAGGATAAAGGGGTATGTATTAACAAAGAACCAATATCAAAGGAAGGCCTTAATCTTTTGACATTTTTAGAAAACAAGATTTACCGCTTACATGCTATGGGCAAAGAAAATTAGGCAAGAACTGTTAGAGCAATATCCTAACTTGGGTATATCTAAGCTATATTTTGTTAGATTATAAATGCATGCAACTTTGATGTTGTTCACTGATTGTTGCTTTTTGTAGATTTTGCTGCAATTTCTAAGCGATTAGGAGAGTTGTGGTCTACAGTACCACATCTGGAAAAATATAATTGGCGCAGACGTGCAAAGCGCTTAGCAGCAAAGCCTCATACTTTACCAGCAAATAAAGATGAGCCTGTTTGGAAAATGCCACCACCCGCCTCGCGAAAAAAATTCATTAATAAAATTGGTGGGTTTGTTAGTTTTTGTATATAGGCAATGGACGATTTGTATGTCATGTTATGTAGATTATCTTCACTTTTTCTTCGTATGCATGTGCATTAGCTAAAAAATATGAAATTGGATATATATCTATCATGTGATTTTTGTAGTTATACAGGGTAAGGCAAATGGTTCACCTGAATAACTCGCTTGTTTTTAACAATAGAAGGAAAAGTATTAAACAATAGTTGCTTGGTTTCGAGGGGTACATAATATGATGTCAATGGCTACTTTTACATCGTGCGCTTATTCCGCGACTTATACGATATGTGTCTTTGTTTAACCTACAGGATAAACAAGCACATCTATTGTTTAGGCCGCGGCCTAAATGCACGGTGTAAACGTAGTCAATAATTATTTGGATATAAGTAGGTGGACGCGTAAAGAATAGGCAAAGGTTAAATCTGTTTTTTTTTTTAATGAAATGATATGTTTTTTTATTTATATTCTGATAGAGCATTTTAAGACAAATACAGTGACCTTTAATCGAAGGTCATTGAAGATTATGCAAGGTCAATAATGAAAAATAAATTGTTTCAAGGCACTCTTCGAATAATTTCGTGTCTTCTCTGCTCGTTGGTATATCACTAATCGTTCGAGTGTATCACGGTATGTAAATAAAAAAACATTCCATTTAAAAAAAATCAGATTTGACCTTTGCCTATCCTTTACGCTTCCACCTACAAAATAATTATTGACATCACATTATGTGCCCCTCAAAACCAAGCAACTTTTATTTAATACTTTTCCTTCTATTGTTAAAAACAAGCGAGTTATTCAGGTGACCTGGTTTAAATGCCTCATCCTATATATTGATCTGTCTCTTGTACTCATGTACCATTTAAATATTCAATACAGCATTAATAAATTATTTTGTATATGTTGTATTTCAGGTAATGGGAAACAAACAAAGCCTGCTTCTGCAAAGAAAACTATTCAACTCGGCGTGCCATCTGTCGTTGGAAATGTTTCAATCTCACCACCATCCAATCGTACCAGTAAAGATCTGGTTAATGAACCAGTAATAGGAACGGGAATGTATAAAGTCGTTGGAACGCAACCAATTGATGTTGCAGCTCATCTCAAATTGCTTGGTGAAAGTTTGACAATCATTGGAGAACGTTTGAAGGAGCACGATGGTCAAATAGCGGTTTCTGGTAGTCTTTCAGTTCTACTGGATTCATTGCTCTGTGCCTTAGGTCCGCTAATTTGTTTAACGCAGCAATTGCCTGAAACTAATGGAGCTAAACCTGAAACACTTTCTCAAATGCTTGACAACATTGCTTATCTTATGCCTGGTCTATAATGTACAAAATGTAAAGTATATTCATAATAATGT